GGTCCCGCGCCGGGCGCTCGGGCAGGCAGCCGCGTGCTACGGCTCCACCTTCACTCCCCTGATGAAGGGCAGGCCCGAGGGCACCCTCTTCTTGTACTCGAGGTACTCTTCCCCGAAGAAGTGGATGAGCGTGATCTCCTCCTCCTCCAGGTGCTCCCTGAAGAAGCGCCAGGACACCAGCGTGTAGCCCACGGCGCACACGGGGTTGCACAGCAAGACCTGCCAAGAGGCACCAGCCGTGAGGGGCTGCCTTCAGCAGCCCTTAAAAACCAAGTGCCAGGTGGCCTAGGAAGAGCAAAACAAACAAAACGGCCCAACAGGGGATGTCCGGGGGAAAGCATCCATGATACCTGCGTTCCAATGCTCCAGTAGAACCATCCCACGTAGGACGGGTGCCGGAACCACGCGTACACCCCGCTCGTCACCAGCGTGTGCGTGTCCGACTTCTCGTTCTGCACGATGTGGTTGAAGTTGGAGCCGGCCGTGAGCATGGCGGCCTTGCGCAGGCAGTCCCCGAAGATCACCATGAGCAGCCCCGCCGTGCTGAGCCACGCGACCTGCTTCATTTCTGCAAGGGAACGGGCACCGCTCATGACGGGCTCGCGCAGGCGACGCTTCCTTGCGGGTAACGGGAAGGTCGGGCAGGCCCTGCGTGCTCCTCTCGCAGGGAAGCGGCACGTAGAGCCCTGCTTGTGCTCAGCACCAGCAAAAAGGCACCGTTTGCCCCTGGCTCTTCATAAGCAGCAGCATCTGAGAGTCACACTGAGGCAGAGCCCCCATTTACGGTGCCCGAAGCAGCACAGCTGGCGGCTCGGCCCTCACGGAGAGTCACAACCTGCTTCTCCGCTGGCCTCGAGCAGCCCTCGGTGCCGAGATGGACACCGATACCTGCGGCGCACGCAGGGGCAGCTGTGGAAAGCGGCAGCTCCCCTGAGCCGCCTTCACGGCAAAGGCAAAGGGGTCGGACGCGACCCGAGCATCGCTGTCCCCGCAACACGTCGGGGAGCCCCGAGCGCCCGGGCCGCACCGAGGGCGGCGGGAGCTACGCACCGGGACACAGGAACTTCTCGAGGGCGAACTCCACCCAGGAGGACAGCGCGGCCAGGTTGTACTCGAAGCTGTGGTTGAGCAGGAAGGAGTCGAGCGAGAGGCTGCGCGGGTTGTTGATGGCCGTCACCAGGTACTCGGAGTAGTGG